AAAATATCTAGGCAGATAATTTGAAATGTTTCAGGCAGTTACAGAATATTTTGTGGATTTGGATTTTGCCACCTGCCAATGATAGCTCTGAAATCATGCTACATATCATGGTATTGATAATCCTGTTTAACATGCTTTGAGTCCTTTTTGTCTATGTATTGCTTTGCTCAGCTCTTTCCAGATATATTTCTAACCTTATAAGCAAGTAAAATAAGTGCTCATACTGTCTGTACTTGATGCTCAGCAGCATGATCAAGTCACATAGCTGGGAAGTGGTAGAGAGGGACTTAATCCCACTTGTATTTAATTCCAGAATTTATATTTTATTATAACCTATACAGATTGATTTCTCATATTTTAATGGGAAAAATCCCAGTGTAAGCAGTATATTATAAAATGACTGAATCTATACTAATAACTAAGAAAAGTAACAATTGGAAAATATTTTTTAAGTTTTAATTTTAAAACTATTTTGTAAAGCATACATTTTAGGAATATGTCTTTTAAGAGATGCAAATTTAAACAACACCAGATTCCATCTCACCACAGAAAGAATGGCTAAAATAAACCAGTAACAAATGCTGGCTGGGATGTAGGGAAAAAAAGGAACCCTTCTCCATTGTTAGTAGAAATATAGAGTGGTACAACAATTGTGGAAACCAGTGTAGTTTTTTTTTTTTTTTTTTTTTTGTATTTCTTAAAAAAATAATCGTAGAGGTCCCATTCAACATCTGGGTATTTTTCCAGAAAATTTGCAGACATCATACCACAGCAATATATGTGCATCCATGTTTATAGCAGAATAATCCATGATACCTAAATCTTAGAAACAACCTAAATGCTCCTCAACCAAGGAATTTAAAATTAAATCAGACCCACATGTGCAAACATCATATTGTCTCCTTAGTGTGAGAACCTAAAAGAGAAAAATGGAATCTGAAGGGTAAAACAGATACTAGAAAAAGGGAATGAACTTATTTGTAAGGAAAGAGATACTGAGTTGAGGAGAAGGAGGGGGAAAGAGATTTATCTGTGTATGTAAACAGGATGATTTAGACATTGGGGGGCCGGGGAGATGGCTCAGTGGGATAAGCGGTTGACTGATTTAGACAACTGTACTGTGCATTTCTGCTGGTCTAAGGAGAGGAACAGATAATGCTTAATTTGTTTTGTCTCCTTTTTTCAATTTTTTTTTTAACCTTTTTTCTTCTTGATTTCTTATACATTTCTTTCTTTTTTCCTTCTAATTTTACATGAAGAACTGGTTAGAAGACAGCACTATGTATTACAACAAATACTGTGAAATTGATATTACTTTGTTAAGTGAAATTCTGTCCAACTTGTAATTTTTTGTTTTAATTGTAATTTATATATTCATTAAAAAATAAAAAAAATTAAAGGGCAAAAAATAATTTAAAACTATCTTATAAAGCATATATTTAAGAATATGGTTTTTCATGAACACTAAAATATTTAAAAATAAATAGATGTAAAATTTGGAATAGAAATGAAGAAAGGGGGCCTGCCCCATAGCTCAGTTCTTTAAGTGGCTGTTTCAACAAAGCATTCAGGCTCAGGTTGCTGTGGTTCGATCCCCACAACTCAAGCTAGCCAAACCTACCCTGAAGGCATTCGGAGCCAAAAAAAAAAAAAAAAAAAAAAAAAGAAATGAAGAAAATATGTAATGATATAAAATGTTTTGAGATTAAATTATGTATGTGTCTTTGAGCACATTATTAACACTTTAGTACCATGGTTCTATCACCCTCAAAATTGGGACAATGATATTTACCTTGTAAGATAGTTATGATCACTAACTTAAGAAAAATTTATAATATTCCTACTTTATAGTTCTTAGGTTCCCATTAGTATTTGTTGTAGTCTTTTATTTGTATAGTTCAGATTTGGCATGGAAATATTTTAAAATAACACACAGGCAGTAATTCTCAAAATACTCTTCTTTAATAGGACTATTTTTATTGCTAAAGGAAATATTCTTATCAGTTGGTGAGAGTTTTACCTGTTGATAAATGGCAACTAATAGCTATATAGTCTACTAACTAGTAATTTCATCTCTGAAAGTCTGAACCTTTGGCCATATTTTGTACTTTGGTGTATGCTAATATGGTTTTACATAAAGTAACATCTATGGTAGTAACAGGTAGCTCATCACACATATTCAGTTACTGCAGAGTCTTTTTTTTTTTTTTTTAATGCAAAGTCTTAAGTGGTGAGAAAGAAGAGATGAGATGAATAAGCAGATAGCCTAAAGCCTTTAAGCATTTATCTTAGCGTAACTTAAAGAAACCATAATATAGAGTTTCAGAATTATGTAGCAATTTCTTTCAAAGATCACTCAACAGGCAGTCTAAATAACAGCTATAGTCAAATACTATAATTTTTTAACAGTAGTTTTTTTAGAAAATAAATAAAAACCCATTAAAAATGATACAGAATTTCAAAACAAGATAAGAAGTTAACAATGGTTGTTATATTACACCTTTAAAGTAGTTGTTCACATTATCAGAGATAGGCATGCAAAATTGATCCACCCCAAATTTAAACATTAACTATTCCTTTCAATAAATCAATAGAAATTAGTGGGACAGTTATATTAGCTATCTTGTATGTGTAATAATTTTTCCCCTTTTCTTCTTTTCTCCTTTCCCTCATCCCACTTCTTTCCTTTTGAGCAGTTTCTTTCCCTTTCACAATATCTGTTGTACCTTTTGGATCTTATTTACTTTCAGGTTTTTACACTAGGGAGACAATATGATCTTTACACATGTGGGTCTGATTTATTTCACTTACAAGTATGGTCTCTAGTCGTATCCATTTCCACATAAAAGCCTCTAGTTTATCCTTCTTTATATCTGGGTAATACTCCATTTCTAACAGTAGTTTTAGTGTGATCAATTTTTAAAAATCATGCTATTGTAGTAACTATATACTGAAGTTTAGTAGTATGAAGCATGTGACAGTGGTGTGTTCTTCCTGGGGCCAGGGTCAGTGATGTTGTAGTAGTCCGATCCCATTAATAAAAGCGGTGTCTGTGGTATTATAAGTTGAACTAAATTTAGAAATTTTAAATCTTTTTTAAAAAATGCTTGAAACTATTGTTTGAAGCAAGGTACAATTCCCCTATGATGAATGCTATCACTATGTATATATAAAATGTACCAATAAAAAAATTCAAGAAAAAATAAAAAAAAATAAAAGCAGTGTGGTACAGACTGTTAAGTCATTGCAGTGGATCACAGCAGTCATGCCAACATTGCCCTTAGTTACTATATATTTTTAAACATTTAATAATTTCTAAAGCACTCAATCACTATTTTTTATCCTTTGTGCTTTTAATATGTAAACTTTGGAAATGTTTGGAACAGGTCAACTTCAGACATTCTGGGTAAATAATCTGCTACAGATGAACCACTGTGCTTTGTATTCTTTTAAATTTACGTCTTTGCCTCACTTTTCTGAACTGTTTTAGTAACCATTTTAATGTCTTTCTCTCATAGAGAGTGACAGACCAGAGGGTACAGAGTACATAAATCCTGGTGAAAGACTCATAGAAGAAGGCTGTCTTCATTTAATTTCACTGGGCTCCAAAGCGTTGATGATCCAAGTGTGGGCTGATCCACATAATGGCACTTTAATCTTTCGGTATCAGTTGTCCTAAACTACTAATGCATAGATTTTGCATTTAATAATTTAAGATGTATTAATTTAAAATATGCTAATACAGGTCATTATAGCCAAAAAGAAAGGTTTTATTTAGAAAAAGAAAATACATTATAGCACTCTTAGTACCACTTAAGTGATAGTAGTATAGTATTCTCCCCAAAAATCTATAAGTAAATTCCAGATTATGTTAATATTCTATTAGATTTTGGATCAAATGCTTACTAAAGTTTTATTCAGTAAAGAAAAAAAAATAAAAAAATAAAAAACTCTTTAATAAGGGCTGGCCAAATAGCTCAGCAGATTAAAGCACCTGCAAGCAGGCCCAAGGGCTGGGGATTCCATCCCCAGGGCCTGCCATGGCAGCCCTGCCCCTGGGGCACACTGAGAGAGAGGACAATTGAGACGGGCGTGGTGGCACACGCCTGTAATCCCAGCTCCTGGGAGACTGTAAACAGGCTTCTCACTACAAGTCTAATCTAGTAGTGAACCCCTGAACACCCTGTAGACCCTTCCCTAAAATACACATGCACACACAAAGAAAACATCTTTAATATTGAATTGTTCTTCAGATGTTGTTATTATCAGGCAGATATTTTCCATGTAGATTATATATTTAATAGTTGTTATCTAATAAGCTTATATTCTCCTTGCTGTCTTGCACTTTTTACTGTCTTTTTTATTAAGAGGTAAAAATGTTTTATTTGTAGTAATGTTTGTATAGTATGATATAAAACTCCAAACTAAAACTAATATGTTATTTAGGAATAGATGGTTTCTAAATGTTATAAATATCACCAGATTATTTATATATATTTTCTCTTCACTGCAGTAATCTTTCAGAGCAGGTTATGTCACCAGTATCGCCTAGTATTTAGATATTTATAATATGTATGGTTTCTAAAAGGTTAGTGACTAAATAGAAAAGATTTCACAAAACTTTTTGCAAACTGGGTTCTAGAAATTGTAATACCAGCCAATAAGCCAAATATTTTTTCATAAATTGAATATAAAATAAAATAACTAAATAAATTATTCTGTTAAAAAAAGATTTCTTCTAAGCCAGTTTAAAATAGAAGTGATTTTTAATCTCAAATATTTATGGTTGCTGTCTGTGTTACATACTAAGGTCAGAACTTTTATGATTTAAGCCTGTGCCCTTTTTTCTTTATCTGCAGTGTGTGTATGGATTCAAATGATGACACAAAAGCTGTTTTACTAGCACAGGTTGAATCACAGGAGAATATTTTCCTTACAAGCAAATGGCAACATTTAGTACTCACCTACTTACAGCAGCCCCAAGGAAAAAAGAATGTTTATGGGAAAATCTCCATATGGGTCTGTGGACAGAGGTATGAAGCTTTTTTAGAAAATACACATTAGTCTTGATTACAATTTCAACTTTTATTTGTCTCTTATAGTCCCTGAAATACATTACATAAAACTGAAAGTAAAATTTACTATTAACAGGAATTTATCAGAGTTGGATTTTTTTTTCTATTTATCGCTATCATACACAGTATATCAATCATAGACATAACTGTTGAAAATTAATAGCTGGCCCACTGGAAGCATGAGCTCTGCATCTATGGGTTTAACCAAGTTCTGAATGAAAATTTTGAAGGAAAAAGTTGGTGTCTATGGAACATGTATACTTTTAAAATTATTATTTCCTAAATGGTACAATGTAACAATTTACCAAGCACTCACATTGTATTAGGCATAAGTAATCTAGAGATGATTTAAAGTTACAGGAGAATCTGTGTAGGTTGTTTGCAAATATGCCATGTTATGTGAGGGACTTAAGCATTCTCAGATTCTGGTATCTGGGACAGAAAGTTGAGTCGGGGGACTTCTGAGCCAACACTGTAGATACTGATTGGATGCTGTATTTGGGTTTGAGAAGCTTGCAGCAAACCTGGACATTTAGATATTTATGTATAATGCATATGAGATCTAGGAAGAGAATCTATGATTTTGTCCTTTAAGCCCATCTGTTGCAAAAATCAATCCACAAGGACTTATTCACATAAATTGGCTAAGTGCTTTATTTGCATTGTTTTCTAATTCTCTTAAAGTCACTCAGACTAGATTAGACCACAGATAAACATTTAGCACAAATTAACCTATTCTCATTGATGAATTCATCACATAATTTACTGAGAAATCACCATGTGCCAATCCACAGTGTAGGATGCTGCAGGTGTCATTTCTTACAGCTCTCAGGCTGCAATAATGGAGGAAGGGAGCCAGGGAAATAGCTCAGTAGAATAAGCATTAGCCTGGCAAGTGCAAGGGCCTGGGTTCAATCCCCCGTTCTTTTTTTTTTTTTTTTTAATTTTTCTCGGGTTTTTTTTTTTTTTTTTTTTTTTTAACCAGGGATTGAACTCAGGCCCCTGTGCTTGCCAGGGAAGCATTTATTCCACTGAGCCATCTCCCTGGTAAATCCCTGGTTCTGGAAAAAAAAAAAATGGAGGAAGGTAGGGGGAAAAAGAACCTGCCTGCAAATTGCTCTCAGGCAGCCAGTACATAGTGGATGCCACAGGAAAGAATAGGCTTTGGAAATTAAGAGTTCAGTTTTGTTTTATTCAGTTAAGAAAATATATAATTGGCACCTCATTTTCATATTCTAAAAGAAATGCTACCTGGAAAGTTCTGTCTTCATGTCTGCCCAATCTTGATGGGAGCTGCAGCCAATCAGAAAATCAGTTTGCAAAATCAATGGGACTTGGTGAAGGTATCATGAGTAGACAGGTTTTCTCCACATGGACTCTGTCCTCCCTCTTGAGCTCATACCATGTGCCAGGGATTGTTTCAAGCACTTTATAGAATATCTCACTTCATCCTTCCCCAAACACTACAAAGATATCTTATTATGTCTGTTTCACATATGAGTCAACAGAGACCGAGTGGGTAAGTCAAGCTTGTCCATCATGCCCCACATAAGAAGTAGAGCTGCAACTTGAGCCAAGTTCACACTTTAACCTTATACTTTACTGCCCTTCAGCCTTGCTCTGAATCAGGCCACCTGACATGTCTAGGAATCATAACCTAGTTCTTAGCCAGGGTTAGAGTGAAAGATTAGGTTATCATCTTGGGTAGCTCTAAAGTTAATGAGTACACAGTAGTCAGTTGATTCACAAGTCACTCTTTCTTTACTCTCTCCAATTATTTCTATATTCCTTTGAAGGAACTTTTTCCATTTTGTACAAGTTAATAATTCCATTAGTTTGCAGAGTAGTGAACAAGTCACAAGGACCAAAAATATCCTGTTGACTCAAATTTTGTTCTGTCTTTGTCATTTTCAAATCTATAATTTCTACAAAGAATATATTTCAAAGAGACTGCCTTAATAATATATGACACTAAAAAGAACTGTGAATATCTTATGTTAATTGTTATTTGGTAAATAATACACAAATCTGGTAGAAAGATATAGCAACATACTAGATACTTGATATTTGAATTTATTTTGCATTTGGTTTCTATCCTTAAAAAGCGTATTGTCATAGTGTCACTAGATGGCAGTAGTGTTTCAGGCATGGCCATTTATTTGTTCCAAAAAGATTATTGTAGAATAGTTCAGATCTTACTCAGCTATAAAGAACAATAGACTTGAGACATTTATAGGGAAATGGATGCGATTTGAGTCCATGCTCCTTAATGAAATAAATCAGCCCCACATGTTTGTAAACAGTGTATTGTCTCCCTCTTTAAGAAGCTAAAAGAGTAAATAAGATCCAAAATGTTCAATAGATATTATGGAATGGGAAGAAAATGCTCAAAAGGAAAGACAGACTTGAGTGGGGAAAAAGGAGAAAAGAAGGAAGGGAAAGGGGAAAAAATACACACACACACACACACACACACACACACACACACACACACACAAGGTGGGTCAGATAGTTATACTACTTGCTATTAGCTCATTGAAAGGAAAGGTTTTTATCCCTATCTTGTTTAATCAGTTTTTCATGCCTATATTTTGTTTTTGTTTTCGGGGTTTTCTTTGGTACTGGGGATTGAACTCAAGACCTTGCACTTTCCAGGCAGGCACTTCTGCTGCTGTGCTGTCTCCCCACCTATACCTTGTAATATGAGCAACTACTTTGAAAATGATACGCAGTATACTAACCATTGTTATTCTCTTACAATCTTTTGTTTTGGTACTAGCAACCAAACTCAGGACCTTGCACTTTCTAGGCAGGTGCTTATGCCATTGAGGTATCTCCCTGGCCTGCTCTCCTACAATCTTGTCTTGAAATTTTGTACATTGTTTTTATTATTTTTCCTTTCATTAAAATAAAAAAGAATATTTCAGGTCTTTTATTTAAAAAATTCCTATAAGATAAAGTTATATTAAAGAGAAACAAAAGAATCTTAAAAGAAAGTTTTAAATAAGTACATCTAAAATTGCAATTCTTTAAAGAACTAACCGGGCCAGGGTTGTAGCTGAGTAGTGCAGGGCTTGCCTGGCAAGCATGAGGCCCTGAGTTCAATTTCCAGTACAAAAAAAAAAAAGGAGGAGGAGGAGGAACCACCACCGCCAAGATTCCGGAACGGGGGATTGAACTCAGGCCCTTGCGCTTGCCAGGGAAGCGCTTATTCTACTGAGCTATCTCCCCAGCCCTCATCTTGGCTTTTTCTAAGTCTTTATCTTGTTCACAAACTTACAGAACTTAAGACATTTCTAAAGTCGGGATGGACCTTGGCACTTGGCAGCTTCATAGGTGATGAAGTCTTCCCAACTTCTATGTCTTTCTATAAGAAAGATTTACTTTATCTTTGCTGGTATTCTTTGTTTTGTAAGCATTCCTGTAACTTTTATCCATGAAGAAAAAAGAAGAAACTAATCAAAAGCTCCTTAATCCTTAGCACTGAAAAAACCATTATTATTTCAGTGGCCAGACAGAGCAAAACTTGGGGAAGTGATTCTGTTTATGATTAATTTTTTTAAAAATTTTATTTATTTGTGTGTGTGTGTGTGTGTGTGGCCAGCTCAGCCCACCAGGGGGCAGGGCTGGCTGGCATGTGGTGCTGGGGGATTGAACCGCAGTCCCTGTACTTTACTAAGCTTACTCCAAGTAGGTGCTTTAGACCACTGAGCCATCTCACCAGCCCCTATGATTAATTTTTGATGACCTCATAAAAGGCACAGGTTTAGGAATTGTTTATCAAAATGGTAAGAGGCAATGTTGGTTTCTGTAAACTAAGAAAGTGTAAATGCAGAAGTGAAATGACAAAACTTATAGCAAATATCAGATATGCTTCCACCAGGCTGCTGTGTACCCAGGCATATGTACTGTTGCCTGTTTTCTGTGGCTTGTGGACCATAGCACCTGTGACCAAAGAGGCTGAAGAGTCAGTCCTGTCAGTGCCGTTATCACCAACCATCCAATACTGAACCAAGAAAAATGGTTTAAGAATGTCCGTCCCATCATTAAACATTCATTCTTTAAACATAGTTTAGTACTCCCTGAACTAATTGCCATAACTTTGTTTTAAATGTAGGAAGCCTGATGTGATTTTGGAGTTTACACTCCCAAGAAAAACAAGTTTATCATCTGATAGCAATAAAACATTTTGCATGATCGGCCATTGTTTGTCATCCCAAGAAGAGTTTTTGCAATTGGCTGGAAAATGGGACCTGGGAAATTTGCTCCTCTTTAATGGTATATTTTCCCCTTTGAAATATTTGAAATATTTCTACATTTTTCCTTCACTTAACCTGATTAAAAAGTTGGTTTTTGTTCCATCACCTGTTTTTAATAATTACTATATTTCCAAGATTCTAAAATGCTTTTAAGATATTTTAATATTTTATAACTTAAATGTGTTTTATAAGCAGTGTGTACATTTAATAGGAAAATGCATCCCCTCTCCTCCCTCACTTCATATATTAAGCCAATATTATTTTACAATCCTGGGAAAATGTAATATCATGACTAGTATACTTAGAGTGAGAATGTTTATCTCTTCTATTTATAATTTTAGATAAGCCCTATTCACATACCGAATTTTAGGGAAAATAGTAATGTGATTTTTAAAAATGTGTCATTAAACCTCACATTAGTGGCAGGCAGACTATATTTGTTAGCTATATAAGAAGGAATAAAGATATCAATTCCAATATCATTTAAAAACAGAATTTACCTTGCTGACCCTGCCCTCGGACATGCTGAGCTGGCCACTAAGTCTGGGTGTGGTGGCGTATGTCTATAATCTCAGCACTGGGGAGGCTGAAAACAGAAGGATCACTATGTCTGAGCTGTGTAGTGAGACCTGTACCAAATATATAAAATTTAAAAAATAAAATACAAGAATAAAAACAGAATTTACGAAGTTATAGCTTACATTTATTTAAAAAGCAAAGTTAAACAAAACCAAAGACCTGTTTGGTTTGAGGTAAAAATAGAAATTTCATTTTATCGAGGGCCCCACGATTAACTTCATACGTATCGATTCATCTTTTATCATGATTGTTATAGGTTCTCATACTAATTCTCATACTAATTTGAAAACTGAAGCTTTATCAATTTTTATCAGACACATGAACTGAAAAAATTTGAGAAAAATATCTTGTTTTATTGTCTTTTATTAAAAATTCTGCTTGAGTATTTTAAATAAGTAACTTTACTTTTCTACTATCTAGGAGCTAAGATTGGTTCACAAGAGGCCTTTTATCTATATGCTTGTGGACCTAACTATACATCTATAATACCGTGTAAATATGGGAAACCTGTGCATGACTACTCCAAATATATTGATAAGGACATTTTGCAATGTGAACAGATCAGAGAACTTTTTATGAGCAAGAAAGATATGGACATTGGTCTCTTAATTGTAAGTTTTAATGTTATAACTCTTTATAGTGAACTTTGTATGGGTTTATTTATTGAAAGAGTAATTAACAATGAATTATAGCTCTAAAGATTTTAAAATTTTGTTCCATGATATTTTCTTTTCTTGCAATACTTTTTCTGAAACAAATTTGAAATACTTTATCCTTCTCTCAAACTGCGTTACATGTTGTAAATTTGTATCTTTTTATCTTGGAATTAAATTTCTATAGTAATTTATTAGTTCTTTCATATCTACTAATCATTAAGGGAAAAAAATTTTTTTTTAACTTTCTGCAGATTTATTCCAGAAGGGCTCAGTCCTTCTTGGCAGCTGCCTTCCTCATGGTGGCCAGCACATTGCTCAGCTCCTCAAGCTTCCCTTTGGGCACAGATGTGTGTCCCCACCTGTTTCTTGGTGAACTTCTGGGCACGTTTGTCCTTGGAGACCTTGAGCAGCTCCATGGTGCCACTTGTAGGAGACAAAGCCATGCACCTCCCAAGTCATGTCCTGCATGTCCTGCATGAACTTGGTGTGTTTGGTGAAGTGTCCGTGACGGCTGCTGTGCCTCAGTTTGCTCATATTCTTAGTCACCTTGTGGCCCTTGTTGGAGCCCACAAGCCAGAGAGGATAGTGGAGGGCCATGGCTACTGTTCTTCAATGGTTGCTGTGGCTGAAGGAAAATTTTTTATGGTGCAATGAAAATGTAACACTTGTTAGTCTGACATACTCTTAAAAATACTACTGATTATGTTTGATTTTCATACCTAAAAGTTAATAGTAATATTCATTTATAACATTAGTTTTAATTACATGTATTCAGATTTTAGACAATTTTAGTATCAATTAGAATTATAAATTTATCTTCAGAGTTTTGCTAACATGAGCCTATTGCTTTTTTGGTTGTTCTAATATTTTGTTCTAGCAGTATATAATTTAGGAGTTACTGGTGGGAATGTTTCATAAATTGCAACTAGAAAGAACACAGATTTCATAGTATTAGAAGAACTACTAAAAGCTAGTATATCTGGCTTTGAAACTATTCCTCCTTCTCTTGTTTCTATGAGAATTGCATTTGTAGACTGGAGGTATTTCTTCCTTGGAGGCTACCATTTAGGAATGTATTTGTTTGCTGCTGCTGCTACTGCTGTTGTTGTTATTAAGGTATATATTTCAAATCAAAATAGATTATATTTTAAAACTGTAATAGTTAAGGGAGAAATTATAATAGAAATTATAAAACACTCAACTTTTATCTGTGATAAAATAAGTGTAGAGTAGATAACTATGAATTTACCTAAAACTCTGACCTTAGGTGTGCAATCTTTTTCTCCAAAAGGAATATTTAAAATGGTATGTGGAAAACAGATTTTTCTTGTCAACTATTGCTGATGGAGGTCAGGGGTGCTAACTGATTTATAGTTTTTGGGCATTGTTATGCTACAAAGAATGATACCTCCTCAAGAAAACATACTTTAGGGAACTGGTTATCAAAGCCAAGAGTACACCAGAATCACCCATAGGGCCTACTCAAACAAAGATTGTTAGAGCCTCTGATGCAATAGGTCTAAAGTGTGGCTCAAGAATTTACTTTTCCCATAAACAGTTGAGTGATGTTTATACCACAATTGGAACTTCTGCTTTAGGGACACAGGTTCTCATACAAGTATTTTTTCAACTAATAATTTTATTTATTTGTTTATTTTTATTCATTTTATTGAGAAATAGCAATAAGAAAGTTTCACAATAGGTTAGCAGGACAGTTACAATAATTAATACATTGCATATTGTTGTCTTCATAGTAGTTATTCATAGTACAAAATGCAGATATGATATCTGTCCAAACACTGTCAAATCTTTCTTCTCATTGAATTAAGAGAAATAGCTGTATATCTATCCTATTTATTCACTACAAAATGGTCATTTATATCCTTTTTTGTTTAGTTTTGTCAAAGTTGGGTATTCCATTGCCATTTAAATATTGTAGGTGTGTGAATTCAGCAAAATAATCCAATATAGTCCAGTAATTCATAACACTAGTGGGTTAGCCATAGGACTGGCAATGTCAGAATCAACTAATAATTTTAGCAGTCTAGTTTTTTGTTTTGTTTTCATGAAAATAATTTCCTTAATCCTTTTGTTTTTTCCTGAATAGAATTTAGGTCGTATTCTAAGGATTTATGTGAAAACGTTTTTAGAAAGCACTTTCTTTGGGTTTTATGAGGCCTCCAAGAGATTAAGGCAGGGATAGTGTGGTCCTGTCAAGGTATGATGTCAACTTGCTAATGGTAGCTGACATGGACCAGAAACTGGTTTTCCAATTCCAGAAACTGGTACAATTATATACAATAAATGTGTAGTTGGTTTTATTGGTGTACAATTAGCACAATGGTATTTCTTATGAAACTGTACTTAAATTGCTTTGTGTGTTATGATAAAGCAATTTAAACCCAAAAGCCCCACCAACTTCTGTGAGATGTTAAATGTACAAGAGATTCCCTAAGCATGGGCTGAGTAGCTGCTGCCGCTAAGATCACTTCACAGTACATTCGGTATTTAAAGTTTATCTTAGTTTTAAAGAAATTCAGAAAAGCTAGACATAGAGCCAGTAGTTGATTGAAACTACTCTCTGCATGGAAGAAATACTGAAAACTCTACTGAATTTTATTTAGTTGTGCCAACAGTATGATTTTTTTTTTTTTTTTTTTTTTGCGGTACCAGGGATCAAACTCAGGATGTTGCACTTGCCAGGCAGGTGCTTATGCCAGTAAGCTATATCCCCAGCCCCTAGTGTGAAATTTTATTCTAACAAAAATATAGTTTAGAGTCCTATTTATTTATTTATTTATTTATTTTAGAGTCACTTTTAAATGAGTACCCAGCCCATGAGCAAATCTATGGCAAAATTCTGGGTAAATTGACCCAGAGTTCCCACATTCCTCAGTGCTTAGAACAGTGCTTAGTGTACAATAAGAGTGATATAAGATTTAGCTGTCATTTATAATAACAGTAAGTATACTTTCATGCTTATTCTAAATTGATAAAACCAGGCTCCTCAGTTTTGATGTAGTATGTAATCTTGGTCACAGCCCAGTGATACTGGTCATTTCTTCCGTGGGAAGCAGCCTTGCTTCTCATGTTTGTATTTGTTCAGTGTAACAGCTGTCTTTTCTAAAAGAAAGATAAAGACTGGCTGACTGTCTTTCCACTTTGAAATATTTATTTGGTAGTTGATAACTTGCATTTTAAGCTTTGTTTTGTAACTATGCTACAAACAAGTATTTGTCTTTCAGGAAAGTCTTTCAGTTGTTTATACAACATACTTTCCCACTCAGTACACCATTTATGAGCCAGTGATTAGACTCAAGAGTCACGTGAAAGCCCAACTCTCTCAACGACCTTTCAGCTCAAAAGAAGTCCAGAGCATCTTACTAGAACCTCCCCAGATAAAGAGCCTCCAGCCTACTGAATGTAATACTATTCAAGGCATTCTGCATGAGATTGGTGGAACTGGTATATTTGTCTTTCTCTTTGCTAGGGTAAGATTCACTGATTAAGATTTTGTTAAAGAGAAAATATTTTATTATTGATAAAGAATTTCTTGTGGGTTACCAAAACATGCTACACCTAACTTTATTAAATGTTTCAGATAATAAGTAACATATTAAAAATAACCCTTTTGCCATAGATAATTATGTTTTTTCTAATTTGTGAAGAATTTAGAATTTCTTTAGTATCCATAAATACAATTGGAACAAGTAAATGTTAAATGTACAAACTTTAAATTGCATTGGGAAAAAAAATGCTTGCTGTAGTAATGTTATGAAAGAAATATATTTTTTTAAATGAGGTTTTTGAAATTTTTATCCCTTAAGCTTCCCAACACATGGGAGGAAACCAAAGGTTAACAAATAAGCAAAAATGTTTTCATTTATTTGAGTTTGGAGGATTTTTTTTTATAAAGAAGAGAAATAACTTTCTAAAGTTTGACTCAGACTTTAAGTAGTACTTAGGAATAGATTATTTGTTGTATTTAGTTATTTGATGGTAGAGACTAGCTTTTCTGATAGAGTGGTAAGTTAATAATTATGTATTATCTATTTCAGAGATTGCTAAATCCATAATAGGGGCACAAAAGTCTCACTTTGGAACAAATCATTTGTGTTTTCTCAGGTCCATATGTTTGTGTAGTTGAAATCTTTATTTTCCTTCATCCTCAGAATGCCATTTTATCTTTAAATATAACTTCTAAAACAATAAATTTTCATACTATCTTCATAACTGGCTTACTTTCTTTAGTGGGCTGGACTGATAATTTTACAATATGAGACATGTCAGCTTCTGGTGTTGGTGTTCCATGCTTTGCAAGTGGTCTTTTCTTCCATGCCTCTTTTTCAATACTTTTTTCCCATCTAGTATCTAAATTTTCTACTACTGTTTTAAAATTTAAGTCTCTTCATTTAATTCCTAGGCAATATTTTTTGATCTTCTTTTATTCACTATATAATTTTAAAATGTGTATCCTTGGTTTTTTCTTTTTCATCCAGGTATTGAATAGAAGCTCGTTATGGCCACTGTTACACAGTGATTAGATCCTTGAGAAAATGCTTAAATTTCTATCATGTATACCTTTAGGATCATGCCAATAAGATTTTTGAAGTATACTTTCACATTTAACACTTAGAAATTTCTTTTTGTATCCTGTCTCTTCCCATTTAAAAGTAGAATTTAGTTTCCTTAAAATCTTCACATCTACATGAGTAGCCCTTCTTTCAGCCTCATCTTCAGCTAGATAGGCTACCTGCAACCTCCTGGATGTACCATGAACTTCACTTTAGATCTGCACCCAGCCCTGGGAATCTTTTATCCCTGCTTTCCAAGCTTTGGCTCAACTGCCAAGCTGCCTTCTTTCTCTCTCAGGAGGAATCAGAATAGTCTCTATGCAATCTTGGAATTACTTCCAATAGAAACTAAACTTGCTTATGGACACTGTGGTAGGTAATTACACATGTTAAACTTATGACACTATGGAAGTTAATCACACATATTAAATTTTTACTTTGAACAGATTAGAAAAAAAGTATATCCACTTTTTGTCTTTAGGTTGTTGAACTCAGTGGCTGTGAAGAAACTCAGGCATTAGCACTACGAGTTATACTCTCTTTAATTAAATACAACCAACAGAGAATACATGAATTAGACAATTGCAATGGACTTTCCATGATTCATCAGGTGTTGATCAAACAAAAATGCATTGTTGGCTTTCACATTTTGAAGGTATGACTTTATAAAACTTACTTTGGTGGGGGCCAGCGAGATAGCTCAGTGGACTAAAGCACCTGCTTAGGCAAGCTTAGGCAAGCACAGGGACCACAGTTCGATCCCCAGGACCACATGATGTGCCAGTCCCATCCCAGGTTAGACTGAGCTGGACAGAGTCTGGGCCAAGTGGCGCACCCCTGTAATCTCAGCACTGGGAAAAAAGCAGGAGAATCATTATAAGTCTGAGCTGCATAGTGAGACCCTCTAACAACCAAATACATTAAAAAAGTAAATAAAATTTACTGTAATGATTCCTAGTAATGATTCTCATCTTTCATCAAAGTCTGTTAATAATACTTTTATGTTTCAGTTATTCCTGAAGAAAATGAAGGTAGTTCATTAGTGTATATTTAATTAAACAAAAGTACTCTTCTGGTTCTTTTCAACATTTAAGTAATTACATCTTCTTCTTGTATTATTTTTTAAAATCATTTCAGAAAAATAAGAAAAAAATAAGCTCAAAGAATTTTAGATTTGAATGGACCATAAATGCCCCCAAGCAGCCTCTTTTCTGTGATTGAAGAGATTATTATTTGCCTAACTTCCACAGTTATGAAAGAAAAATCAGTTCTCCAAGCATTGGAAATACACATGGTATCAGCCAGTGCTACTGCAAATAGTTTTTAGAGTTACAAAGATCCGCATTTTAAAGTTACAAGTAAAGGACTGCTAAGGTTAAAGGCTTAATGTTTTTGTTTGGTTAATCATTTACTAATACATCTTGTATTAATGCTTATTTTTCATAGACCCTTCTTGAGGGTTGCTGTGGTGAAGAGATTATTTACATCAATGAAAATGGAGAGTTTAAATTGGATGTAGAGTCCAGTGCTATAATCCAAGATGTTAAGCTTTTAGAGGAGCTGCTACTTGACTGGAAGATATGGAATAAGGCACAGGTATGTAATATATGTTTCTTTTCTTTTTTATTATGGTAAAATACATATAACATAAAACTTACTATCTTAACCATTTTATTTTATTTTTTATTTATTTATTTTTATTTATTTTTTTACAATGAAAGCAAAGACAGATTTATTTGGGTACATAAAATGCTAGGCAGAGGTTCAGTTACTGAGCAAGTGTTTTCTCAGGTATGGAGGACTGAGAACTTTTAGGAGAAAAAAAAAGGGAAAATGGACCCAGCAGGGGTAACTTGTTTTGATAATATTTTTAAAAAATAATTTTATTGAGAAACAAATAGCAATGAGACAGTTTCAAAACCGATTATTAGCACAATTTCAATAATTAATACATTGCATATTGTTGCCTTAGTGGCTATTCATTGTACAAGATGCAGAGATGACATTCTGTCCACAAACACAATTATAACAAATCGATTCACTGAATTAAGAGAATGCAGCTGTATATCTATCCTGACTATTTTTTCCATAATTTTATTGATAAACAAATAGTAATGAGACAGTTTCAAATCAAATTGGTAGGACAGTTTCAATAATTAACACATTGCATACATGTGTTTAATGGTTAACTGCTGTACAAGATGCAGACATGATATCCTATCTACAAACACCATGAGAACAAATCACTCTATTCATTAAGAGAATGTAACTATATATCTATCCTAACCACTTTGAATACACAGATACAAAATGGACATTCATCTGTATCCCCTTTTTTGTTAAGTTCCATTATTTGAATATCATAGGTGTGTTAACTCAGCAAAATAATCTAAAAGAGTTCAGTAGTCCATAATAGTATTGGGTCTTCCACTTGACTGGCAATGTCAGAAATTGTTGACCTGAGTCCCCTACAGCTCAACATACCAGCATGGCTTTACTTCTTATATTTCATTTTTATACTTTTCTGCTGGATGGTTAAGACCAAGGTAAAGCAGGACCTATGCAACAAGAGTTGTAGCTTTTGGATCTGATAAGGTCAGTGAAATTACCTCAGGATTTATCCTGAGATCCTGTACCTCAGATTGTTTGTCAGTGTCAGCCATGTGGATGAGTCATGGCCATTGCTTGGCCAATGTGCTCTCTGTGAAAGCCTGAGAAAATGTTTTCTCTCCATGTGACTCTCCTTAGGCACACTCTACATCATGGATCACTTTCCTCTTTGGCCCCATAATCTCCTTGATCAGAAAATTTGGGACACTGCTGAGTTACATGACATTACAGTACAAGTTCTCATATGTCCTGAGTCTTAATTGAACTTGGAAGCCTAGGGCCAAAATGTTGGCTTTCCTTGCAGCCCTCCTTTTCATCTTATCTTAACCATTTTAAGTGTATAGTTCACTAGTATTAAATTGAATCACAGTGTCATATAACCATCACCACCATCAGCCTCCATAATTCTTTCTGTCTTATAAAACTACAACTCTATATCTGTTAAATAATAACTTCCCACTCCCTGCCTTCTCAGCTCTGGAAAATTTTATTTATTGACTTTATATGTGCCCTACTTTTCTCATTGCTGAGATAAAAATATCTAAGACCCACAAGTTAAAGGAGGAAAGGTTTATTTCAGCTTGTAGTTTGTAGAAATTTTAGTCCATAGTTGGCTGGCTCTAAGGCAGGGCAGCATGGCAGAGAAGCATTGCAGAGGAGAAATAGTCCATGGTAAAGCAGGCAGGAGACGCATCAAGAAGCAGCAACAAACTGCAACCTGATTCTCTCCCTCTCTTTATATTCCACCTAGGATATAAGCCTATTGATTGGTGCCACCCATGCCCGGAGTGAGGGCTTTTATTATCCATGCACAGTACTATGCTAATTCCAATCATTGGTCTTAATTAATGTCACACACCCTTAATCCTAGTATCACACACCCTGGATCCATTGAACTCTGAAAAACCCCAACTGTGAGTGCAGGAGGCTTTGGGGGTACATTTAGATGCAAGCCATAATACTACTTTGTCTCATATAAGTGGAATCATGATACTTGATTTTTTGTCTTTTTATGATTAATTTATATCACTCAGCATAATGTCCTCAATGTTTCATTCAGGTGTAAGTACATCAGAATTTCTTCCTCTTTAAAGTTGAATAATATTCCATTGTATGCATGTATATGTATATATATATTACCAACTGTATTGCTTAACTACTCACCTGTCAAGGGAACTTGGGTTGCTTCCACATTTCAGCAATTGTGATAGAAACATGTACTTTAAAAAGTTTGCCTAATGAGTCTTTTGAAGAAAAATGAGTTTATTGCTTCAGTGGGATGTTAGTTACAAATGGAAATTTGGAGATCATTTCCTGTGTGAAGTTCAGGTGTGCTAAGCTAGAAGATCAGGATCAGATCTTGGACTGGGTCAGAATGCTTCACTAAGAAAAGCAAACATGAGCTCATTTGGGCCTCTTGGGAGTTTACATTTAGTATAAACGCTATATTAAGACTCTGGCCTTGAAGGATTCTGGGGTTCTGGGTCCAGGAGACAGAAATGGACACATCTCTAAGTAGAGGAACCATACTGGTGGAAGGCAGAGCCTGGATCGTGATGTAGGGCAAACTCTAATTATGTAAACAATATAGATGGATCTTAGGTATAGGCACACTATGTCACACTTGGAATGGAGGAACACCAGGCTTTATGGGGCCCTACAAAGGAATAAGAACTGTTTCTTTTCTGCCCCAGCTTGCAACAGTCCTAATGACAGGCTCAGACAGGCTGTTCAGTTCTATTATAGACTGTTTTCTGAAGTGTGACAGTATGCTAATCAGGTATTGGTGATTTTTCAAGGAAATATATTATCTACAATTAACTAGAATATAGCAACATTACTATAAATCTTAATAATTTGCAAAGCAAGTCAGAGTATATACCTTTAGGTTTGGTTTTTTTTTAATGTATTTATTTATTTATTT